TTTTCCAGCTCTGGTTTTTGTGGGATTTAGTTGGTTTGAGAAGCTATAAAAAGCCATCAACTCTCATTTATTTTGGATTGATGTTTAAGAGAGTTTTACACAAGTTTGTTTCAAAGTTTTAAGTATGTTTTGGTTTATGCAAAAAGCGGTTTACAAGAAGAGGAGATCAATTTTGGTATGAACATTCAACTTCACATCTCCATCTCTCTTGTTTTAGAGAAGTTTTCTTAAACTCATTATCTAGCTTGTTTACATTCAACTTCACATCTCCATCTCTCTTGTTTTAGAGAAGTTTTCTTAAACTCATTATCTAGCTTGTTTATATTTCAATTATTATATTTTTACCTCTTGTTTTAGAGAAGTTTTCTTAAACTCATTATCTAGCTTGTTTATATTTCAATTATTATATTTTTACATGCTAGATTAATTTGAGTTTGATTTTATTTATATTCATTGGTTTTACACACACCACTTGAGTTTAAGTATTTTAGTATATTGTATACATTTGGGTTGTGGGGTTGTATCATTGAGTGAGCTTAGATTTCGTTCTCATCCTTGTTAGGGAACCAACATTTGTTTGAGCTTATCATTGTTGAGAACACATTGTAATATACAAGGACACTTAGTAAAGTAATTGGTAAGAGACGGGATCAATTCTAAGAGGAGTGGCGTTGGTAGTAAATTCTAGGGAGAAGTTTTAATTCCGAGCACTTGAGGAAGGTGAGACGGGCTAGGCCAACACTTAGAGAAGTGTGTTGTGTGATTGCAATTGTGAGAGTTATAAAAGTTTTCGGTGAACTTGGAAAACCGATTGTGTAATTAATTTATTTGAGATAGTGGAGATTCCCCTCGAGGGTGAGGAACGGAGACGTAGGTCGTGGGTCGACCGAACACCGTGATCAATTTCTTTGTGTTTGAGTTTGTTGCTCTTATTGTTCATATCTTATACTACTTGTTTATATCACCCATTGTTTAATTACATATCGTTGCACATATTTTGTTGTGTATCATAAAATTGCTAGGATATTTGTTAATAAGTTTTAATTTGGCATTAATATCGGATTAGATTAGAAATTATCCTATTCACCCCCCCCCCCCCCCCACTTCCAATTGCACTGTGCAGGTGCATGGTAAGTTTGACATCCTTAGGTTCATATTGGACTACAGCCTTGTGTGAAATCGAGGGCGTCACAATTATTTAGAAAAAATATTAATAAATTAAAAATATTACTTATAGAAATTAATACCTAGAATCAAAGATGACCATATAGGATCAAATCCTTAGGATTTGATGGACTCACATGGGATGGCGGTGCAAATGCCCCTGCGAAATTAAACTAAATAATAAATGTGAAGTAGATATATGTACCAAGAAAAAATATTGATGAATTTAAACGGTTACTTACATAAATTAATACCTACAACGGGGCAACGATCCCATAGTTTCTGATGTAGAACAGACCGCGAACATATTTATAGAAAATCGGAACCGACACAAGCCTAAACGTGGACCCGCTCAAAGAAAATAACTTGCAACGAAAAATAAGTCATATCTCTCAAACCGTAAGTCAGAATTGGACAAATTACATATGTAAATCGCATATATTTTCGAGACGAAGTCAACCTAACCCACCGTTATTCAGTTTGCCACCGTCCATTTGACCAAATTCCGTCCGGATCGAGAGATATTAACGTTTTTATTAGTTTTTTACTATTTTAGGTAATATTTTAGGAGTCTGTTTTGATTAGGAAGCAAATCCGGTTTGATTCCAAATTTGACTGATTTACTTCCCTAATCATAGGGAGTCTTTTAGGAATAGTTTTGTTATTTTTATTTCTGGTAAACTTTGTGTCATAATAGGAGTCTTGTTTACTTTTTATTTAAGCAAAATGTTGTAAGCCCTAGAGGTATAACTTTTCATCAATAAAACTTCTTTTTCAATGTTTTCTTCGGGAATTCGAAGTTATTCGTGGATTCGGAGATCGTTCTTTGTGGATTCGGATAACATCTCTTCGTGGATTCCGAGGTTATCACTTTCATGCTGCGTCAGTTTCTGATGAACTCACATAGGATGGCAATGCAGATGCACCGACAGTAAAATTTAATAATAAATAAACCACATAAATATTAAAAAAAAATTCAAAAGCACTCCTCAAATGGAAAAACGACAAACAAATTCAAAAGTAACTCCAAAATTACCAACCCTTTGAAGAATCTAAAAACTGATAAACAACCCCTTTGAAATCTAAAATTAAAAAAATAAAATTCAAAAAATAAAAAATATGGTTCTAAACTCCTAAAAATATAAAAAGTTATAAACATTTTAGAAGAAATATAAAAATTACAAACAACCTCCTAAAAACTAAAAACTACAAATTTTCAAACAGACCTTAAAAAGTTTCAAGGTTGCAAACAACCCTCTAAATAATCTAAAATTGCAAAATGCCCCTTATAATTTGAAAATTGGAAATGATCTTATGTGAAATTCAAAAATTATAAATAACCCTTAAATATTAAAAATTTACTAATAACCAGTGATGTCCAAAAATTACAACGAGACCACAAAAATTTTGAAAATAAAAAGCAACTATTGTTGTGATCCTGCCAAAATTAACTAAAAGAAGTAACATCAAAATATTTAAGACACTTAAGGGACTAACTTAAATTATGAAGATTTGGGAAACTAATTTTAAAACTTACAAAACGATTTTGGGGACTATTTTCAAAATATCAAGAAGTGAGGACTATTTTCAAACTATCAAAGATTTGGGGAACTAATATTAGAATAGCCCTAAATTATAGTAGTGCTATCGCAACAACCACGTAGCTGCTAAAGTAAAAAGCAGTTATGAGATAAGATGAAGTTAGTAAATGAGGTAAGATGAATTTAGTATAATAAAGAGCAATTTTTGCAATATATATTAATATTGTACTGCATTTAGTACCCTAAATGTAATTTTTAGAGCACCGACCTTTCAATTTTGTGAGTTAAATAGTGTAAACTATTCCGTTCTTTATTTAATATGTACCGACTAACCACTTTTCTATTAACTAGAGGAAACAGTATCACATTTTTTTATTTAGGTAAATTGAGCCCTTCAACTGTGTTGTGCTAAAGCCTGGAACTATGCAGCGGCTATGAAACTTCTTTGAATGATACATCTAAAGAAAGACTTGTTATGGATTAAGTGGGTTCATGGAATTACCTGCGACATTCTAACATATGACAAGTTCAAATTAGAATGAATAATTCTTAGATGTGGAAGCAAATTCTTAAAGTGAGGGATAAAATGATCTGCAAATTTGGCAATGCCTCTAATGTTCAAAATGTCATCACCAGGTGTTGCTTCGAAGGAAAATTTCAGTTATCTTCTATCTACAATGAGCTCATTCATCAAAATACACAAGTTGTTTGGTCCAAAACAGTATGGGATGGATGGTTATACCCTAAGCACTCCTTTATCTTTTGGCTAGCTATTCATTCTAGATTGTTAACAAAAGATAGGCTATGCCACATGAGGATACTTGACACAAATCTCTGTGTCCTGTGCACATATCAGCATCAAGAAACCTGCAGACATCTCTTCTTTGAATGTGTATACTTAGCTACTTTATGGAACAGAGTGATGGACTGGATAACTTATAATTGGAAATCTTACAACTAGGATCGTATTATTGACTGGTATAGTACGAGACTGAAGGGGAAGGGGTTTATGAAGAAGCTTAAAAGATTGGCATTATCCATATCAGTTTATGCTATATGGAAAGAAAGGAATCAGAGAATCATCCAACACAAAGCTAAAGACCCTGAATCGTTTCAGACAGTGAAGCTTCTAATACTTTCTAAATTCTTGAATGATAATGTTTCCCCTTACATAAAAGAAAGAATTAAGCAAATGTAATTCTTTTTCATAGTTGTTTTCCAGTGAATCACTGGAATGTTTTAATGTACTAAATCTTCTCAATTGGTAATGAATACAATTTATTTCATTAACCAAAAAAAAAACTGTTTTGTGCTAATTTTGATATTCATAAGCAAAAAATATAATCATTTCATGATCTATTCACGATGCTTTTAGTCCTTGATGGATATTGATTGTTGGTATAAAAAATTGTTTGGTCAACTTCATAAGAAAAGTGAAATAATTCCACAAAAACCGTATACGCAAGCCAAAGATATTACACCGACCCGCGCAGGCAAAAGCATAATACATGTGGGTGTATAAGATAAAAACAAATCTATTCCTCTATACAAACAAATGGGAGAATCCAAGATTTACTGTTTATGCTACAGTAAATGTTATAGTAGATAGCAACACAATATTATTACTGTAGCACACGGGATACTGTAGCATTTTAAAAGAAAAATTGCTGTAACAGAGGCGGAACTGTAGCGTTCTTTAAAAATACTATAGTATCAATACTGTAGCACGGGTATACTGTAATAATTTAAAAAACCGGATACTGTAACAATTCAAAAAACCAAAACATTTTAAAATATTATTACGGTAGCATGAAAAGAATTATCGCCATGCTTTGCACGGACAACACACTAGTCAATAAGGAATGGTAAAAAAGTATAAAGGCAAACTAGTGGCGAATGGTACAACCAATAAGATGTTTCATTATGAGCTTACGAGGAACTCTATGAACCAATTGTAAGTAGAGACAAAACGTATACCCCCAAACTAGTTACCTCTACACAACACAGAATAAATGAAGATTTATTAGTGAGTGTGAATTTTAGATTGCCTCAATTAGTATGTAGAACAACAGCTATACATTTAACAGCATAGATTATGAGAAGATAAGTCATGAAGACAATACATCAACAGTTCAAGGATTATCTTCTATGCATGAGAAATTTCAGCTTATTAAATGAAGTTTCTCTTAATTAACATTAGGAAGAAATTTGTTTCCAAATTTAGTTCATTGATAATACTACAGTTTTGGGATCTTGTATCTGCATTGTGTTTGTTTGCTGTCATGGTTGCATGACCTAGAGATGAATGGTTACTTCTTCATCCTCTTCTTCTTTAGGTGCAACTTCATATGAAACAAAAGAACTTCTGGCGGCGCTAGCGTTCAATCTTCTTGCTTCTGAAACCTGTGTACAAAAAAGATTTCATGCTAAGGATGTGCTAAATGATGATTGTTCTTGTTGCTGCCAAAAAATTAACATTTTATGGTCAAAATTTATAAAATCCTTCTGACTTTGGGGGGTTTTACACAAAACCCCTGTGCAGTTTATAGACCACATAAAATCCCCTGAATATGCGGTCAATTTAACATAAATTGCTAAATATAACGTGTACATTACCACCTTTTAGGTAAAAACATGTAAAAAGCAAGAAAATAGTTTAACGAAATCTGGTTAGTTCTGAAAGTTCAGGAGGATATAATCTCTATGATATCTAAAGTTCAGGTAGATTTTGCACAAAGTTCCCCAGAGTTCAGGGGGTTATCTGAAATTTAGCTTTTTGTTTAGAAAAATGTCTTAAGGACCCAAAATATGGGACCAAGTGAGGGGACACGTGAGGTGTCCCCTCCCTATTGCATAATGAACTGGTCATGCCAACTCATTATGCAATAAGAGGGGGGCATCTCACATGTCCCCTCAAATGGTCTCATATTTTGGGTTCATGTAGCAACGCTTTTTTTTTTTTTTTTTTTTTTTTTTTTTTTTTTTCACTGTAGCAACGCTCTTTTGTTTATGGACAATTGCATACTTGGTGAGGACCAAACTACCTTCTCGTGTAATTCCTCATTTTCTCGACGAATATCATTTAGCTTATTGTAGAGATCCATATTTTCTTTGTGAACCTGGCTACCCTACAACGAAGCTATAAACCGTTAGACAAATTATATAATTGTAAGTACCATCAAAAGACGAATATAGTAAGTATTTTCTGTAGAGACCTTCTTGTTTAATTCTTGTATCTCACTGATTAACATTTGCTCCTGCAACATTTAAACAACATTTAAACAAGCGTTGTTAAAAGCAGTCAATGTATTAACGTAACAGGTTAAACATCGAGTATGGCATTGTGCAACAGAAAACCTTCTTCGTTCGAATTCCTCGTAAACTCATATCCAGTTGGGACTCTAAGTTTTGTAGATCATAGACACTGAGACCTGAAAGGTCTTCACCCGTCAACATCCTATCATCATTGAACAAAAACTCTTAGGCTGCTTGTAAGAAAAAAAATTATTATGTTTTTATAATAATGTGCATCTTCATCACAACAAGTGTAGTAGCCTTATATATTACAGTTAATATTCGATCAAATTTTGATATAAGTAATGTTTTGTTTTATGTACTTTTTGTTGGGTAAATTTTTCTAGCCAATTACCTCAAAATGGTTTCTATGCTATGAAAAATGTCATCAGTCTTTTTTCCCCTCCCTATGTGGCCCATACTTCATTATATGTTATGGATATTTGGCCTTTAAATGCTAATGGAGTTGAATTTGCATCATTTACTCCCATGATGTTCTGAAGTGACCAATTCATTCTCATTTTTCTCAAGACAATGTATGAAATGCATTTGGTAGGAGGCGAAGTAATTGAGTAAAGACTGAAGGGCATAAGATGACGAAGATAGAACTACAATTGTCAGAAATAAATACAAGTTGAGAGTTCGAGAATCAAGTGCGTGAGATGTCATTAAACTCTCAAGGTCTAAATTTGAAGGACGTCTAGGACAATATGAGAGAAAACTGCCTGGTTTCTGTGGTTCAAATTTGAATCATTCACCTCTCTGAATTTGGAGTGCAGAAATTCGATATATGATGGAAAAAGAATGCATTAGATTCATAAGCATGATGAAGAATATACACTAAGAGCGGCTACAATTAGGGAATAGCTCAATTTATTTGATTTGAAACAAGAGAAAGTTTATTTATCCTGAAGCTAACCCCTAACTTAGGTTATATATCCTCTGGTGGATTTAATCAAACAGTTTGGAGAAGGTTTAATTTGTCAAAATATTCTTACATTCCATGGATACAAGTAATAGGTTGGTTTGACAGGGGAATGAATTTCATTATAGGTGAAAATAGCAGTTTAGGGTACTTCAATTTGCATAATTTGGCAGGAAATTAAGACTGCACTTGAATGTGGGGAGATCACCTAAATTGCTACCGAAGGAAGTTAAAAATTCTTGCACTTACTGCCATATATCATGATCGTATTCAGGTGCTGTTAGGCAAGGACTTAAGAGAGAAGAGCTAAGGAGAGGAGTTAACTTAGTTAACCCTCTATGATTAATTAAAACTAAATAAAAATCGTTTGGATTAGATATTTTTCATGAATGGTTAACTTTATCTATTGGGAAAATAAAAAACGGGTTAAGTAGGTTAATCCCTAAAAATTTTCTGGAATTCCAATATTAACCTTATTGAAAGCTTGGAAAAAGCACTAACGATTATTCAATTAAGCTTTTTTTAGGTAAATGAAAATCTTTATTCATTACCCTATAATATTTTTGTATAGCCAACTGTTTCGGGTCTCAAAAATTATAATAGACTAGATAGTACAACTTTGAGATTATAATAAAATAAGAAATTTTGTTTATGGTTGGATTCTTTTCTAATGATCTTATACTCCAATGATGGTCTGCGCAATTGACAATGGGTCTTTTTGCTGATTTTAGAAGGCTTACCAAAGTAGAGCCAAAATTTAATCTCTAATCTCTCTCCCTATTTTATGAAGACGATGAAGATCAAGCTTAAGACCTGATGCCAAAATGATTAATATCCTCTCCTCTTATAGGCTAAGATAGAGAGAGTGCCCATTAAATGTGGATTGATGGCCATTAACTAAGGAGATAATGGGGGTGAGTCGTTTCCACAAAAGTAGCTCTTGAAATGGTCATGAGCGAAGTTTACCTATAATTGCAATGGGTGAAGGCCTCTCTAGCAAACCTCGCCAAAACGTGGTTCATGTGCCCCATGTGGACATATTGAGGTGAAGCTCGCATGAGGCTTGAGAAAGCTTCGCTAGGGATTAAAGCGTGAGCTTTGTTTGAGTGATCTTCACTTAGGACCTCGTGCGGGCTTGGTTCATAAAAGTCCAACGTGAAGATGTCTTTTGACTTGACTCAGAGTCGAACTTGCAGACGACTTTCGACTCGACCAAGAGTTTAACTTGCAGATGACTTTCGACTTGGACTAGCGATTCAAGTCGATTGAACCAAAATTTGTTGTATGGTTAAGTTCGCACGAGATTCAAGCGAACTTCATCATGGCTTAGATGAGCTTCATCATGGGCTTCTATTTGGACCAATCTGAAGTGTTTAGCCCATGAGTGTTTATTTCTTATACTTGTATTGGGCTCGAGTATCAAAACCATGTTATCTGTATTGAGCATTCCTCCAGAAGAGAGCTTGTATATTTTGACCATCTACAAGATTTTCCCTCACACATTTTTGAGATGTTGCATTTGACTCGTAGGAAGGATCAAAATATTTTTGATAATAGCTAGAGGTGTACTAAACGTAGCTTTAGGTGTCTTGTTCAAGCTAAATTTGTCTTTGTTTGACTATTTGGTTACCAAAGGTGTTCTATTCAACGTGGCTTCTTTCATCGTGCACTCATCGTGGTTGAATACATGGTTGTATTTGTCTACTCTTCTATATAGAATTCATCCCCTACATTTGGAATGAGATTCACTTGCCATTGAATTAGGGCGAGGTTTGGGGAACAACTTATATTAAGTCATGTTCGTCTAGCGAGGAATTTTAGCTGGGTTCACCCAAATTTTAGTGTCTGGCCAAGGTTTGTTGATTGATGAGAGTTATTGAGACTATTGCTCTTAGATATATGCTTTGATATGCAGCTAAGATCTCTCTTAGTGGTCAATAATTTGGGCGAGATTTGCCGAACAACCCTCTCTTAAGCTATTTTTTAGTGTTTGAGTGGTCTAATCTCTCCTTGTAAGGAGTGATTGTTGGGATAAGTTGGTTGAATGACTCATACATAGCTATTTCATTTCCAATCTCATCCATCTTCATGCTTCCAATGTCTTACTCTGCTCCTACCTAATCGGAGCTACCTTTTGATAGAGAATCTAAGATCAAGTGGCTTGAACATGAGTTGATCCAAGCTGCTAGTGGTCCTACAAAGGAGACACAGATCCTTTACTAGTTGGACTTTCTTTTTTTTTAAGAAGGCCTGTTTGAGCAAATCATTGAGAACAAATCGAAGGCATAGCACGAAACGAATCGGAAAAGATATGTGCGAGCATTAAATGTTATGCTCTGTGTAGGACCATTCAAAGATTTCGATGGCGCCTGAGGAAGGACTCTTAGAGTTCCACAAGTGAGGATTCAAAGAGTGATTTAGTTCCACAAGTGTAGACTTAGAGAGTGACTAGGTATCATCTGTCCTACTCAAACTAGACACCTCTTTGTTGCATTCTGCCTTCCATCATCAATCTCTTCTAAAACACCAGCCATGTTATAAATGAAAGCTTGGGAATGTTTATTGTACTCTAACTAGTCTTATACCAAAGCATAACAGGACCATCCCAAACCAAGTCATAATACACCTGAGAGACATATAACTTGCATGCTCCACTTATTATATTCAATTTGTGAATAACACTTTCAGAAGACCCGCACACAAAATTACATAATCCCTACACTTGAATATCTAGCACTAAGAAGCTCCCCCTATGACATGCACATCCCAAATATTCGACCTCTTTAAGTAATGTTCATGCACCCATTTGATCTATAGTGATTCTTTTTCATGTGTAAGTCCCATATCAGACACATAGTAGAAGTTTGACTCCATGTAACAACATAGAACACCCCTAGATCTCCTTGCATATAAGATTTGCAGATATTATCCCAGGAGACTAAAGTCATTTTATTAGAATCATGCATACCTCTCCACAAAAATATCATACACATCATGTCTACTTTCTTGAGAACTTTCTTAGGCAAAACATATTAGGTCTCATGTTTATGAGCCTATTGTCTAATCTTGTTTTGATGATGGCAAACAATCTTCACAAGAAATATAAAAATATGGAATACACATACTTTAACCAATAGTAAATGAAAAGAAAACGAGATACTCACAATTTACTTGTTTCTCCCCCTTTGTCAATATCAAAATGGGAAAAACAATAAGAAGAAAGAGAGCAGTAGGCTCCCCCTACATATAAGCACGAATGAGTATAAACAAGATGGGAAAGGCTCCACCTATCAAAATGCCACAGAGCATATATTAATTTGAAAAAATTTAAGGCAATTATACACAGATATATGTCATCATGTGGATCACAACATACAACAATATGTGAGCAAATCAAATACTAAACACAAATCACACTTAAGGTGAACTAAAGAGAGCATATATATATATATATATATATAAAACCAATCCTCTCCATTGGATCCTGATTCATCCAATGGCTGAGATTAAAGCTGCATAAGGGTAATCAGGTAAAATTAACAGCCCCCAAAGAGAGGTAATTAATGCTTGTCTGTTGAGTTCTCCATGCAAGAGTAAGAAATAAATGCATGTGATGTAATTTTATTTCCAACAATTAAATAATTAAATAATAAATGCAAGTTTAGTTTTCCATTTCCCCATGTGATCTCACGGCTCAGGCAACCCAAAAAAAAAATCTAGAGTCACTGGAGTGAATCTGGATTCACTGTAGTGAATCCAGATTCACTCTAGTGAATCGAGAATCATTGTAATCGAGATTCACTTCAGTTGTTTTTCTTCATCTCGAGCGTTAACATTTTTGGGAATTATTGCTAATTAATTGCTAATTAATTACAGTGTGTTTCGTGAAATGGAGTGTTTGACTGGATAATTAATTACAGTGTGTTTCCTTAATGAATCTTTCTTAAATTACCCCTTTTACATTAATTTTGACAGGTGATGTGTATTTAATATGTATTTATTTTCAATTCTGCCATTTTCAATTCACTGCAGTGGATGAATCTCGATTCACTATAATGAATCGAGATTCACTGAAGTAGTGAATCGAGATTCACTTCACTTTAAATAGTCACTGATACGAAAGAAACTTCATCCCTTCGTATTCATTGTTTCACAGACATGTCTCTTCATAAAATAGGGACAACAAACAACCAATGAATTCAGATTCGCTTGAGTGAATCCAGATTCAGTGGATTGAA